CTAGACAATTAGATTCTCAACAGAATCTATCTTACGTATTTATAAGTCTACCATTTGCCCTTTGCTTTGAATACTGCTGCCATATTTGGTCTGGTGTTCTTGCTATATATTTAGAGATTCTTGATAAAATCCAAAGAAGAATCTATCTTACATATTTATAAGTCTACCATTCATCCTTGCTTTGAATATTGCTGCCATATCTGGTCTGGTACTCTTGCTATATATTTAGAGATTCTTGATAAAATCCTTTGAAATATATATAATGTACATACATAAACATTATTTATGTGTCTTAAAAACTTGAAAGAAAAAAAAAAGTCAACATTTTTTTTTAAATATATAAAATTTTAAGTAAACAAAAACACTAGAAAGCAAGATAAATTGCAAAATAATGCATAAATAAACAAAAATATCGAAAACATCTGTCTATATCTCTGAGATGAGGTATTATGATTACTTGCATTATTTACATTATTTGGACTGTTATCCTCATCTTCATTGCCATATTCATATTGGAGAGTTGAGTTAAAGGCAAATAATTAGGACATCCGGAAGAGGCATGGCACGTGAAACTAGAACAATCTACCCCAGTGGATGAAATTCAAATCACCTGAAGAAGGCTGGAGCATATAACAGTTGAATTTAATACTCAGAGATTATGAAATCATTATTTAACATACAATAAAACAATTTATACCGCCTTTTTGACTGTACTAACACCTGAACTATCAATTGATAAAAAGGAAAGAGAGCAGAAAAGGGACAATTGATAAATATAACTTTAGGTAAACAGAAACAAAGTAAAAATAAGACAAACGATCTTCAGGTTAGTTGTACAAAAACAGATAAATACTAATACAGAAAAATCCAGTAACTGTGGAAAAAGTTGAAAGAAATAAAAATAAACAATACATATAACTTCATATAAATATAATAATCATAATACATATAATAAATGAAATAAAATAAATAATAATTGCAAATTATATTATCATAGCTGGGAGTGATAGTGTGGAAAAGGTCACTCTGTCTATAAAATACTTCCATGGCATGAATCTCAAATAACTTCTGACAATTATGTCTAGCTCCAAGCTGGAGAATGACTGAAGGTGGAAAACTAGCACTTCATAACCTCAGCTGCTTTAGGAAGATGGAGCCCAACAATCCAGGAAGGCATTCCATCGAGTGGAAGAAAAAAACACTTATTTTAAACTTCTGCAGCCTTACAGTCATATCCAAAACATGGAAATGACTATGGAAGTAAACCCAGACAGGAAACTCAGAGTAGAGCCCCAAAGGTGATTGGCTGTTAACACTGACAACTTTCTGGCAACTCCTGCAGCCAAGTTGCCCCCAAAAGTAATGCCTTGTATTCCTTTGGACCTTGTCAGTACAGCTGAAAGGCAGGTGTCCATGCAGTCTGGGCAGCACACGACCTACATATATCATTGCTCATACCTGCATCCTGGAGAGGTCACTCTAAGTTCACCACCAATGGACTGAATTTTGACCAGACACGGCACTATCTTTATCTCACAAGACAAATGGATGCCTATATTGATAAAACCCAAAGAAGACTGCAATGTTATTGGTCCTGACCTGACATCTCTGCTTCAGCCATTTTCCAACCACTGTAATGTAGCTTTCCTCTGCCTTTTCTATAAATACTTTCACAATAATTGTTGTTAGTGGCATTATTGCCTTACTTCAGTTGAATTGATTAAAAATAACAAAAAGAATATATATTATTTTAATATTGGGAGGGAAGAGTAACAGAAGATGGCATAAAGGTTATCAACATAAAAACAAAATTGACAAGCCGATTTCAATTCCAGCTGAAGCAGCTTATGTTCACACATCTCATTAACTCTTTGGGAAAGGCATGAATCCACATTCCTTTGCACTCTGTCTTATTGACACATGGCTTGTCAGGATAATTAATTAGTTACAACTTGAGCAAACCACTCTCCCATTATTTCAACTGCTCATTTTTAAGGTAGGCTAAGCCCTTCTATTTGGAAGAGGAGGGCAGCCTACATTCTCTTCTACTATTGTTCATTCATGCACTTGTAAAATATACTATACTTCAGGATAAATCTTGTGATTTTTCAAGCACTTTTTACCCATAGCATGAATGTTTTTGTGACCTCAGGTGAATTAGAAAAAGGCTAAGCGGACTGAGACCTTGAGGTGACGCATGACAAAAACTATCAACTAAATATCATTGCCTTTGTTACTATTCAAGCATCCTTCAAAAGTCAACTAATTCAATAAATGATATATTATTTTTAATGAGCTGATTATTACCTATATAATTCTTGTAGATTTTACTTATTATTCAAAGAAACACGTCCAGTATAGGAAGAGAAATAGAAATTGAAAAAGAAATAAAACATAAAGCTAAAATGAAAATTATCAAGAAATAACAATGAAAGAAAAGGGCAAAGGAATTTCAACTCTTAAATGAAAAATGATTATTATTATTATTATTGATATTCATTTTGGGGGTCAATGAGAAACGAAGGATTCCATGAAGGTGGGGGTCAATGGTCTAAAACAGTGATTCTCAATCTTTTTTGCCCAATGTACCCTCCTCATCATAAGTCAGAATGTCATTCTGTTATGGTGAAACACACCTATTCTATAGTTAATAGACTCTCCCACCTAATATAAGTAGAAGTAGTAAAAGAAAAAAAGGTCAGTCGTTGTCGGACGACAGTAGTCGAATACGAAAGTAGTCAGTGACCACAACAAGATTACTCTGCATAATACCTATTATATCAAGTTCCTAACGTTTTGTATGTCAAACTTATTTTAGGACCGATTTAGTACAAATACAAGCCTCCACTGCGAAATAACTCCACAACACATTCCTTCACTACCAAGATTTTCTGACGCAAAATGTGCATTCCAAATAATATGCATATATCATGGAAAATCTTCATTCTTTTCTATATATGTGTGTGTGTGTGTGTGAAGTCACTTATGACAAAAACTTACCAATTTTCAACCAAATATCATTGCCTTCTATTCAAGCATTCAAGTCGACCAATTTAATAAAAAAGATATATTATTTTTAAAGAGCTTATTATTACCTGTATATTTCATGAAATTTTAACTTATTAAAACAAACATGTTTGGTATTGGAAGAGGAATAGAAACGCTTATGGCAATAAATAAAAAATTCAATAGAATTCGAGGGTATTGTAGTTCAATAAACAAAATTCAGTAAATAAAAAAACAATAAAAAGTAAAAGATTTTCCCTTCCATTTGAAAGTCCTACCTGGGGGCAGGAAGAGGCATCGCCCCTGGTTGAGAAACCCTGGTCTACAAAGGTTTGAGGATCTTTGAATCAATACCTAGAAAATATATCCAGTCACTAGAACAAGATGCACAGCCTTTATGTAACTTGACAATCATGAACTGACACTCTCCTGTGAGGTTACTCAGTTGGCAATAAAACATCACTGAGTGAGCTTGTTTCATGTGTAAAAGGGAAAATATCCCATCACCCATGTCTACTAGCCTCCCTACTGTCTAGATTTGGTTTCCTCTGACTTCTGGCTTTATCTAAAGCTAAAAATCACCACTGTTATGTAGTGACGAGATTAAGGAGAAGCTGATGATGAACCTGAAAGAGAAATTTGTTAAGTGTCTTAAAAAGTAGAAGGGGTACAGAGAGAAGTGTGTGAGTACTTTGAAGGGGGTCTAAGGTGCTGTAGGCAGGCTATTTTTCATTAATATTAAATAGCTGGTTACTTTCCAAACAGACCTCATATTTTTTTCTGCACTCATATACCATAGATATTTGCTACAGACATTTAAAATTATGAAGTGAATAATAGGTGAACAACACTGTTCTTTTGTTGCCTTTTACAAATCTGTAAAAACGGTTCTGAGAATATACTCCAGCATGTATTCTCATAACTTTAGAAAGGTGGGTATAACATTGAACAGGGTGACTATAAAACTGGGTGTGGATGATTTGATACCACTTACTTCTGGTATTTCCGATAATCATGTATGGGTAGTTTCTCTGGATGTATAACATATTCTTCCAAATCCTTTTTCCAACTGGGGAGGATTTGAGGAAGACCAAAGGGAAGCTGAAAAAAAAAAATTATTTAAAACCAAAATTATACATATAATAAAATTATACATATAATAACCCTATTTTTACAGCAATATGGACATTAATTCATGATCTAACAATGTCTTTTTCATTTTAAATACATTTACCAACACAATATTTATGCAGATGTTAACTATTTACTCCACTCTTAATATCAAGTCAGATAAATTTGACCAAGTAAAACTGGCAGCTGCTTACAAAAATGACCTCCAATCAGTTATTAACTGGGGCAAGAAATGGCTTATAAATTTTAATGCTTCTAAGACAAAACTACTATCCTTTAATCATCCTCTCCATCAGCATGGCTGATGCTAACCTCCAGAAAAGCAACTCGTTGTGCTTTCTTTGTCTCCCATTTCCCACTGACGTGAAGTGGAATGATTATATTGTATCAATTGCTAGAAAATTTGGTTCATCATGTTGTGCCAGACAATTTTTCTCATCAGAACCCATTTTGCACATTTATAAATCTACTATTCAGCTGTGCATTGAATATTGCTGCCATATAATTTTGTTTAGTGTCATATCAACTGTGACACAATTTGTGACAAATTTGTGATGAGTTTTACAATGACATTCTCCAATCAGAGACCTTGCTGCCGAATAAAAAATAAGTGGATTTATTGAATTACTTTTCAAGCAAATGCTTGTCTGTACAAAAAACTATTTTTTTTCTTTTTCTTCTCATTATTCTGTAATATGTGACTAAATTGTCAACATTGTCTGAAAACAGTGACCCAGCTGTCATACCAGACAAACACTTATCTGAGAAAGAGAGGGAACTGCTGGATAAACTAAAGGTAAATATGTATCCTAATCTACTAAAATAAATTGAAATGTTCTCAGTTACTAGTACTTATAGCCGTATGTTGAAACACCAGTTCTTTTATGATCACCAAAGTTAAGCAACATTGAGTCTGGTCAGTATTTAGATGGGTGACTGCGAGAGAATACCAGATGCTGTGAGCTTGGATGTGCAGGTGGTGTAATAGATAATGGCTAAGAATTGTTAATCAGAAAGTCAAGTTCCAGTTTCCATTAGATTCATTACATTCACTTGCATGCAAATATCCTTAGGAAAAGTATGATTCTACTTTTCCTCCCCTCCAGTTATGGGTTAATTAATAAGACTTGTATTGCAAAATCATTATTATCTCCAAAGAAAGAAATAATTACTTATAATTTAAAAATCTTTTCTGGCTTTAAATAACCTGAAAAGGGTCAGTAAGCCGTAAAAATTTTAATAGATGACTCAATCAATATTAGTAATTTTCATGGCAAATAATAAGGCCACTGCTTTACGAATATTTTGTTGGAAAAGATCGTAAAGGTTCTGGTCATGCTACATAATTTTGCCTTGTTCAGATTCTTATAGACGTCTGTCTTTTGTAACTATTTTAAATACTATCAAGTGAAACAAGCTTTGTATACCAAGGAAAAAAAAACAACCATGATTAGCATGCCTTCATTGAGGTGGAAATAGCAGACAAGTATTTGGTAGGGTCCTACTAGTGCCCATGCAAACAACTTTGTTTTACTTAAGCCGAGCACAAAACCAAGTTCCTAAGTTTGCTTGCGGCCTTTCTAGTAGAAAGTATGATCACAATTTGTGTCAGTTCAAAGTTCATGTTCCAAATCTGTAACAGTAAGGTGTTTTGTTGTGACTGTTGATGCGTTGGTGACCGTGTACTAATTGTTCATTTTTGCTACAATTTTGACATAGGAATGAGAGTTTTGAGAAATCCTAAATTAATTGGCAAGACAATCTCATGATGCCATAGAGATGAAGTTAAAAGGACTAGAAATTATCTCTTACCGTGGTCAATGGCAAGGCTACATCATTTGGTGCCCGAGCCTGCTCGGGAATTACTTCGACGCGCCCACAAGTGCCAGTTTCCAGTAAATCAAAGAATCTTCTAGGGGAGGCTGTCATTTTGCTGGGAAAAACAAGGAAAGAAAGAAAAAAGTTAGCATATGAAAAAATAAATAAAAAAATAGAAAGGAAACCATTTATTAAAGAGGATGTTGAAAAATTCTCAGTTCAAACCACTTCTCAAAATCTGACCAAATAGAATTTTTTTCTCTGAATTCTTTCTTGAAGTGACAGAACTTTTCAACACCTACTCATAATTACTAATCATGTTATCAAAATTAGTTAATCCTAAACATTTTATTGAAAATTAATAAAAAGAATAAGTTAATAAATTTCATATCGGTTTTTTATAAAATGTAAACTTGTTTTTAACAATCTTATAATTCTGCACATCCCTTCCTTCCTTAGTTAGCATGATGACAGTTATGCTAAGATCTTGTAAATGATGGACTATTCCATTTTGATCATGTGGAATGATGGAAAAGACCTATCAGAGATGTTACTTGATTTCAGTGAAGGACAGAAAGAAGGAAAGAAAAAGAAAGGGGAAAGGACAAAAGAAAAAGAAAGCGAAAGAAAGAACAAAAGAAAAAGAAAGAGGAAAGAACAAAAGAAAGAAAGAAACACCCTAAAATACCTCATGAATAATGAATTCCAATTTTTATAGCAAGGGAAGATGGAAAAGACATATCAGAGATGCTGTTTGATTTCAGTGAGAAAAAGAAAGAAAGAAAACAAAATTCAAACACTACTACTAGTGAAGTTAAATTGTTCTAATTTTTACATAATTTACTTGATAATGTTATCAGTGATTATTGTCATCAAAATCAGTCAGTCCCAAACATTTAACTGAAAACAAATCAGATATCACTGACTGATTATAATCAGTTTGAAGCATTTATTTTTTGACTACATCTGACTCTTTAAAGAAGACTTCAAAAGTAAAGGGAGAGTCTTGAAGATGACCCAAAGTTTGGACGTCCTATAACTGCCACTACCAAGGAAAACATTGACCATGTTCACCACATGGTGATGGATGACAGGCAATTGACTATAAATCAAAAAGCCAATGAATGCTATTCAAATATCTTGTGAGAGAGTGAAAGAAGATTCTGTACAATGAACTTGGCATGTCGAAGGTCTCTGCTCAGTGGGTGCTACACCTGATCAAAAACGCACCAGACTGAACTTATTATGGGAAAACCTGATATTAAGGCGGATCCAGTTGGTTTCCTTGGACATTTCCTAACCCAGGATGTGTGTTGGGTTCATTATTTTCAGCCAGAGACAAAGAGACAATCCTTGCCCTAGAAGGCCAAGGTTGTTTCATCTGCAGGGTAGATGATAGCCTCAGTTTTTTGGGATGGATGTTTATTGACTGCAAAAGGGCCACACCATCAATGGAGAGTACTATGCCAACTTGCTGAGGTAGTTATGAAAGGCTATTAAGACCAAACACCCAAGAAAACTGATGAAAAGGGTCTTGTTTCATCTGAACAATGCTCTGGCACACAAGTCTTTGGTTTCAATATCAATTGTGTGTGACTGTGGCTTTGAATTGTTTGATCACCCTCCTTATTCTCCTGATTTAGCTCCATATGACTATCATCTGTTCCCCAACATGAAAAAACACTTGGCTGGGAACCAGTATAGCAGTAATGATGATGTCATATCTGCTGTTGATGATTTTTTTGACCAATAGGATGAAAGCATTTACACTAATGGGATTCAATCAGGGCAACACTGATTAAAGAAGCGTGTGGTCCACAAGTTGGAGGGGCTATGTTGAAAAATAAAACTCATTTTGGTCACATTCCATGAGAATATATTGCTTAGCCTATGAACTTTTTGGCCAAACCTTGTATTGCTCTACAGAAGGATGTTGAGAATATCATGGAAAGAAGGGAGTTTTAAGGACAATGGAAACAGAAAGGACACTTGAATTCAATGTCACACCTAATATATTTTGCCACATACGCACATATATATTTCAAATGTTATAGTGGACACTTGTATTTGAACTAGCCCAATTTTTATTTTTATTTTAAACTGTGTGTATTATGTCCATCTGTCTGCACACTCAAGAAATCTCAATAAATAAAATGTGTTCTCAGGTGGGAATTGAACCTGTATCCCACTTTGTAAAAGAAACCAGTATTTGATCGGGTGTGCAGAACACCTTTAATCTTAGTTTTTAAATATGCATAGAGAAGAGTCCAGTCATTTTGTTTTTATTATTGCTTATTTTTCTCAAAAAAATGCTATGTTAATTTTTTTTTTTTTCACTTTTCAGATATTAGAAATGGGAACCATGAAGAGCCATGATCACCTGTCTTGAAAGAACATTGAATCAAAAAAAAAAAAAAAATTTTCAGTTTAAAGTAGGACTCCAAATAAAAAGTCAGATGAAGAAATGAAAGGGATTTAACCCAGTGTTTACTATTCGAAAATAGTTTAACGTAATACCAGTTCCTTTTGACAGTTACAGAGTAATACAATCATTTTTCTTTTTAAAATTGTTTTCATCCAAGCAAGTTTACAATGCCACTAGATTGCAGGGTGGGTACAGGGAGTGAAAGTGAATGAGAAAATTGAAAATGGGGGGAGGGGAGGAATGAGTAAAAGACAAAAGAGGAACAGGGTTCAAAAAGACAAAAGATGTCAATTGACATTGCATTTGAATTTTTCAAGATTGTAACTAACAGGGAAGCAAGAAATTGGAAGGGACTTCCACAAGCGAGTAGTGTGAAAAAAAAACAAAAAAACAACAATTATTAGTGGCAATTCCATCTAGCTAGTTCAACAGTAAAATGGTGAGACCTAGTTGCCATTAAAAAAAATCCTTACCTGTACCCATCAGCACTTTTAATTATTTTCAAAACTATATATATACACACACACACACACACACACACACACAATTCCTATATATATTATTTATATATGATATATGCACGGTACTTATTGGAAAGCACTCAATATCAGTGATAGAGATAACATTTATTTGCGTTGATGTGAGTTTTGTGACCTTAGGTTTCACGCCCTTTGCAATCATCAGACAAACTCTCTGACGATCTTTCATAAGTGCTATCTGATGATCCGGCACCCTTTAAAAGGGGTCTGGTGAAATAAATTATTATAATGGAACCTTAAAGTGGTCTGTTTTTCTTTAAAATATTAGCTCTGCATTTACATTGAACTCTCAGAATTTCATCCTCCTTGGGACTACCCATACAGATTACCAAGTTTTTCATAACAAACATAACATATATATATATATATATATATATATATATATAATTATATATATATAAATATACATATATATATATATATATATATATATATATATATATATATATTTATTGGATTGATATGGGTTTATGACCTATATATTTCATATATATATATGAAATATAATTACAATATCACATCAATCCAACCAATTATGTTAGCTCTATCTCTGATATTGAGCAAACTTTCCAATAAGTAACTGATATTGATTACTTTATAATATATATATATATATATATATATATTTATTTATATTTATATACACACACTTTTCACCTATATAAAAGTAATCAATATTTAATTAAGATCCAAAATAACAAATGAATCTCTCATTGATTAGATATAGAGTAATTCCAATCAAGTTTATATATATACAGCGGTAGAAACTCTGACTGACACCAAATTGGTTGGGTTTTGGTCCTGGTTGCACTGAGAAGCTGTGATACAGCGAAACAGTACTGTCTGCAAGTGGCATATATATATATATATATATATATATATTCCAATCAAGTTTTAATCTCTCAAATATAAAACATATTCCATATATATGTATTTAATTTATATACTGCATGTAACAACAAAATTGTCCAAATCATGTATCAGCATAATTATCCATCCCACTAAATGTTTAATACATAAAAAAAAACACTAAACTAATTGTTTATTTTTTTCCAGGTTTTCAGATACATCATTTAGCCATTTTGACACCAATTTTTGTAAGAATCACTGAAAAACCCTTTGAGTTATTCAGCTAAAAAGAGAGCAGCTTAAAATTGTTTTGTGCCAGACCCACTTTCTT